TGAGAGTCAGACTCACACTCGTGCACACTGAGTCGACTCACACTCGTGCACACTGAGAGTCAGACTCACACTCGTGCACACTGAGAGTCAGGCTCACACTCGTGCACACTGAGTCAGACTCACACTCGTGCACACTGAGAGTCAGACTCACACTCGTGCACACTGAGAGTCAGACTCACACTCGTGCACACTGAGTCAGACTCACACTCGTGCACACTGAGTCAAACTCACACTCGTACACACTGAGAGTCAGAATCACACTCGTGCACACTGAGAGTCAGACTCACACTCGTGCACACTGAGTCAGACTCCACTCGTGCACACTGAGAGTCAGACTCACTCGTGCCACACTGAGATGTCAGACTCACACTCGTGCACACTGAGTCAGACTCACACTCGTACACACTGAGAGTCAGACTCACACTCGCGCACACTGAGAGTCAGACTCACACTCGTGCACACTGAGTCAGACTCACACTCGTTTGCACACTGAGAGTCGACTCACTCGTGCACACTGAGTCAGACTCACACTCGTACACACTGAGTCAGACTCACACTCGTACACACTGAGAGTCAGACTCACACTCGTGCACACTGAGTCAGACTCACACTCGTGCACACTGAGAGTCAGACTCACACTCGTGCACACTGAGAGTCAGACTCACACTCGTGCACACTGAGAGTCAGACTCACACTCGTGCACACTGAGTCAGACTCACACTCGTACACACTGAGAGTCAGACTCACACTCGTTGCACCATGAGAGTCAGACTCACACTCTGTGCACACTGAGAGACAGACTCACACTCGTGCACACTGAGTCAGACTCACACTCGTGCACACTGAGAGTCAGACTCACACTCGAACACACTGAGTCAGACTCACTCGTGCACACTGAGAGTCAGTCTCACTCGTGCACACTGAGAGTCAGACTCACACTCGTGCACACTGATTCAGACTCACACTCGTACACACTGAGAGTCAGACTCACACTCGTGCACACTGAGAGTCAGACTCACACTCGTGCACACTGAGTCAGACTCACACTCGTGCACACTGAGAGTCAGACTCACACTCGTGCACACTGAGTCAGACTCACACTCGTACACACTGAGTCAGACTCACACTCGTGCACACTGAGAGTCAGACTCACACTCGTGCACACTGAGTCAGGACTCACAATCGTGCACACTGAGAGTCAGACTCACACTCGTGCACACTGAGTCAGACTCACACTCGTGCACACTGAGAGTCAGACTCACACTCGTGCACACTGAGTCAGACTCACACTCGTGCACACTGAGAGTCAGACTCACACTCGTGCACACTGAGAGTCAGACTCACACTCGTGCACACTGAGAGTCAGACTCACACTCGTGCACACTGAGTCAGACTCACACTTCGCACACTGAGCGTCAGACTCACACTCGTGCACACTGAGTCAGACTCACACTCGTACACACTGAGAGTCAGACTCACACTCGTGCACACTGAGTCAGACTCACACTCGTGCACACTGAGAGTCAGACTCACACTCGTGCACACTGAGAGTCAGGCTCACACTCGTGCACACTGAGTCAGACTCACACTCGTGCACACTGCGAGTCAGACTCACACTCGTGCACACTGAGAGTCAGACTCACACTCGTTGCACACTGATCAGACTCACATCGTGCACACTGAGTCAACTCACACTCGTACACACTGAGATTCAGACCACACTCGTGCACACTGAGAGTCCAGACCTCATCACTCGTGCACACTGAGTCAGACTCACACTCGTGGCACAACTGAGTTAGACTTCACACTCGTACACACTGAGTCAGACTCACTCGTGCACACTGAGTCGACTCACTCGTGCACACTGAGTCAGACTCACTCGTGCACACTGAGTCAGACTCACTCGTGCACACTAAGGCAGACTCACTCGTGCACACTGAGAGTCAGACTCAACACTCGTGCACACTGAGAGTCAGGACTCACACTCGTACACACTGAGTCAGACTCACACTCGTACACACTGAGTCAGACTCACACTCGTGCACACTGAGAGTCAGACTCACACTCGTGCACACTGAGTCAGACTCACACTCGTGCACACTGAGTCAGACTCACACTGTGCACACTGAGTCAGACTCACACTCGTACACACTGAGAGTCCGACTCACACTCGTGCACACTGAGAGTCAGACTCACACTCGTGCACACTGAGTTAGACTCACACTCGTGCACACTGAGAGTCAGACTCACCTCGTGCACACTGAGTTAGACTCACACTCGTACACACTGAGTCAGACTCACTCGTGCACACTGAGTCAGACTCCCTCGTGCACACTGAGAGTCAGACTCACACTCGTGCACACTGAGAGTCAGACTCACACTCGTGCACACTGAGAGTCAGACTCACACTCGTGCACACTGAGTCAGACTCACACTAGTGCACACTGAGTAGACTCACACTCGTGCACACTGAGAGTCAGACTCACACTCGTGCACACTGAGAGTCAGACTCACACTCGTGCACACTGAGTCAGACTCACACTCGTACACACTGAGAGTCAGACTCACACTCGTGCACACTGAGTCAGACTCACACTCGTGCACACTGAGAGTCAGACTCACACTCGTGCACACTGAGAGTAGGCTCACACTCGTGCACACTGAGTCAGACTCACACTCGTGCACACTGAGAGTCAGACTCACACTCGTGCACACTGAGAGTCAGACTCACACTCGTGCACACTGAGTCAGACTCACACTCGTGCACACTGAGTCAAACTCACACTCGTACACACTGAGAGTCAGACTCACACTCGTGCACACTGAGAGTCAGACTCACACTCGTGCACACTGAGTCAGACTCACACTCGTGCACACTGAGTTAGACTCACACTCGTACACACTGAGTCAGACTCACTCGTGCACACTGAGTCAGACTCACTCGTGCACACTGAGTCAGACTCACTCGTGCACACTGAGTCAGACTCACTCGTGCACACTAAGTCAGACTCACTCGTGCACACTGAGAGTCAGACTCACACTCGTGCACACTGAGAGTCAGACTCACACTCGTACACACTGAGTCAGACTCACACCGTACACACGAGTCAGACTCACACTCGTGCACACTGAGAGTCAGACTCACACTCGTGCACACTGAGTCAGACTCACACTCGTGCACACTGAGTCAGACTCACACTCGTGCACACTGAGTCAGACTCACACTCGTACACACTGAGAGTCAGACTCACACTCGTGCACACTGAGAGTCAGACTCACACTCGTGCACACTGAGTTAGACTCACACTCGTGCACACTGAGAGTCAGACTCACACTCGTGCACACTGAGTTAGACTCACACTCGTACACACTGAGTCCAGACTCACTCGTGCACACTGAGTCAGACTCACTCGTGCACACTGAGAGTCAGACTCACACTCGTGCACACTGAGAGTCAGACTCACACTCGTGCACACTGAGAGTCAGACTCACACTCGTGCACACTGAGTCAGACTCACACTAGTGCACACTGAGTTAGACTCACACTCGTGCACACTGAGAGTCAGACTCACACTCGTACACACTGAGAGTCAGACTCACACTCGTGCACACTGAGTCAGACTCACACTCGTGCACACTGAGAGTTAGACTCACACTCGTGCACACTGAGTCAGACTCACACTCGTGCACACTGAGTCAGACTCACACTCGTGCACACTGAGTCAGACTCACACTCGTGCACACTGAGAGTCAGACTCACACTCGTGCACACTGAGAGTCAGACTCACACTCGTGCACACTGAGAGTCAGACTCACACTCGTGCACACTGAGAGTCAGACTCACACTCGTGCACACTGAGAGTCAGACTCACACTCGTGCACACTGAGTCAGACTCACACTCGTGCACACTGAGTCAGACTCACACTCGTACACACTGAGAGTCAGACTCACACTCGTGCACACTGAGAGTCAGACTCACACTCGTGCACACTGAGAGTCAGACTCACACTCGTGCACACTGAGTCAGACTCACACTCGTGCACACTGAGTCAGACTCACACTCGTGCACACTGAGTCAGACTCACACTCGTGCACACTGAGAGTCAGACTCACACTCGTGCACACTGAGGAGTCAGACTCACACTCGTGCACACTGAGTCAGACTCACACTCGTGCACACTGAGTCAGACTCACACTCGTGCACACTGAGTCAGACTCACACTCGTGCACACTGAGAGTCAGGACTCACACTCGTGCACACTGAGAGTCAGACTCACACTCGTGCACACTGAGTTAGACTCACACTCGTACACACTGAGAGTCAGACTCACACTCGTGCACACTGAGTTAGACTCACACTCGTGCACACTGAGAGACAGACTCACACTCGTGCACACTGAGTCAGACTCACACTCGTACACACTGAGTCAGATTCACACTCGTGCACACTGAGAGTCAGACTCACACTCGTGCACACTGAGAGACAGACTCACACTCGTGCACACTGAGTCAGACTCACACTCGTACACACTGAGTCAGACTCAATCGTGCACACTGAGTCAGACTCACTCGTGCACACTGAGTTAGACTCACACTCGTGCACACTGAGTCAGACTCAATCGTGCACACTGAGTCAGACTCACTCGTGCACACTGAGTCAGACTCACTCGTGCACACTGAGTCAGACTCACTCGTGCACACTGAGTCAGACTCACTCGTGCACACTGAGTCAGACTCACTCGTACACACTGAGTCAGACTCACACTCGTACACACTGAGTCAGACTCACACTCGTACACACTGAGTCAGACTCACTCGTGCACACTCTGAGCCACTTCATTATCTAGAAAGTACAAGCCAGCAGCACTTCTATCGCTGCGAACCCATGGGTAACAGAACGTGCAACTTACATGACAGTGAAACACTCCGTGTGTACGAGTAGCAATCATTGGGAATCCAATGAGGCCGCTGCCGCGCCGCGTGGGTGTGCGGGGCTTACGGTGAGCAGGCAGCGCTCCCAGTCCATGAAGCCGTGCAAGCCCTTGGCCTTCTCGATCAGCTCCGGCCCCTGTGGAAGTGAAGCATCATCACGACCCGAGAGCCACGTCAATCCACCAACGCGAGGGGACCCCCAGTTGAGGGAGATTTACCCTGTGGGGGTTCGTGCTGCCCCCAGACTGCAACTCAACATTTTTGTGTGAAGGCAAATTATAGACGTGTGTGGTGGTGTTAGTGCATGCGCGGTGTAGATCGACTCGGCATTAATTAGTACTTGGTGCGGTGTGTAAACGTGGGCATTGGGGAGACAAAGGCGGCCGGGCGTGGTGCTGGCCACCAATCCCCTCGTGCGCCGTTCCACCCTCCATAGGTGCTCGCTAGCAGCACTTGCCCGAACGCTGTTGAGTCTACACGGGGGATCTTTGCCTGTGGTGCGTGCCTCGTGTAGGCAATTAAGCACAGTGCGCGTGTACACGTTGGAATTGAAGATGGTGTACTGTACTGTATGTGGTATAGGTTGTGAATCAACTAAACTATAAACATTTTATTTTATTTTACCAGGTAAGACTCACTGAGCGATATAGCTATTTTCAGAAGCGACCTGGCCAGAAATGAGAGCTCAACAAAGTGGATAATCTCGTGGAAATTTAAAGCAGCCAAATACTCAAAACGTGTGACGTTGGTTCTACATGTGGTGGGAAAAACCGGAGGACCCAATGAAAAATGCATGCGACCACAGGGAGAGACACGCAAACTACAATTATACACAGGCATCAGGGTCGTGATCAAACTCACGACCTCCTGCGTAGCAGGCGAGGTAGTTAACACCTCGCTACCGCGGCGCCCCTCTGTTGTTTACGTGCTGGTGGTACAGGTGGTGGTGGTACAGGTGGTGGTGGTACAGGGTGGTGGTGGTGGTACAGGGTGGTGGTAGTGGTACAGGGTGGTGGTGGTACAGGTGGAGCGGTACACGGGTGGTGGTGGTACAGGGTGGTAGTACAGGTGGTGGTGGTACAGGTGGTGGTGGTGGTACAGGTGGTGGTGGTACAGGTGGTGGTGGTACAGGTGGTGGTACAGGTGGTGGTACAGGTGGTGGTGGTACAGGTGGTGGTGGTGTACAGGTGGTGGTGGTACAGGTGGTGGTGGTGGTACAGGTGGTGGTGGTGGTACAGGTGGTGGTGGTACAGGTGGTGGTGGTACAGGTAGTGGCGGTGGTGGTACAGGTGGTGGTGGTACAGGTGGTACAGGTGGTGGTGGTACAGATGGTACAGGTGGTGGTGGTACAGGTGGTACAGGTGGTGGTGGTACAGGTGGTGGTACAGGTGGTGGTACAGGTGGTGGTACAGGTGGTGGTGGTACAGGTGGTGGTGGTACAGGTGGTGGTGGTACAGATGGTACAGGTGGTGGTGGTACAGGTGGTGGTGGTGGTACAGGTGGTGGTGGTGGTACAGGTGGTGGTGGTGGTACAGGTGGTGGTGGTACAGGTGGTGGTGGTGGTACAGGTGGTGGCACAGGTGGTGGTGGTGGTACAGGTGGTGGTGGTGGTGGTACAGGTGGTGGTGGTGGTGGTACAGGTGGTGGTGGTACAGGTGGTGGTGGTACAGGTGGTGGTACAGGTGGTGGTACAGGTGGTGGTGGTACAGGTGGTGGTGGTGGTACAGGTGGTGGTGGTACAGGTGGTGTGGTGGTACAGGTGGTGGTGGTGGTACAGGTGGTGGTGGTACAGGTGGTGGTGGTACAGGTAGTGGCGGTGGTGGTACAGGTGGTGGTGGTACAGGTGGTACAGGTGGTGGTGGTACAGATGGTACAGGTGGTGGTGGTACAGGTGGTGGTGGTACAGGTGGTGGTACAGGTGGTGGTACAGGTGGTGGTACAGGTGGTGGTGGTACAGGTGGTGGTGGTGGTGGTACAGGTGGTGGTGGTACAGATGGTACAGGTGGTGGTGGTACAGGTGGTGGTGGTGGTACAGGTGGTGGTGGTGGTACAGGTGGTGGTGGTACAGGTGGTGGTGGTGGTACAGGTGGTGGTGGTGGTACAGGTGGTGGTGGTGGTACAGGTGGTGGTGGTGGTGGTACAGGTGGTGGTGGTACAGGTGGTGGTGGTGGTACAGGTGGTGGTACAGGTGGTGGTGGTGGTGGTACAGGTGGTGGTGGTGGTACAGGTGGTGGTGGTACAGGTGGTGGTATTGTGGGGAGCGGTAGTGTAGCGGTTAGCGCGCTGCGCTATGAACCTGGCGACCCGGGTTCGATTCCCGCTCACGGCTAACACCAGTGACGATTATCTGAACCGGTCCTGGGCCTCCCCTAGGTCGACTCAGCCTTAAATGAGTACCTGGTGCGGTGTGTAAAACATCACCACTAGGGAGACAAAGGCGGTCGGGCGTGGTGCTGGCCACCCACCCCCTCGTGTACCGTTCCGGCCTTCATAGGTGCTCGCTAACAGCACTTGCCCCTACAGTCTGTTCAGGCTATACGGGGGATCTTTGTCTTTGGTGGTGGTACAGGTGGTGGTGGTGGTGGTACAGGTGGTGGAGGTGGTGGTACAGGTGGTGGAGGTGGTGGTACAGGTGGTGGAGGTGGTGGTACAGGTGGTGGAGGTGGTGGTACAGGTGGTGGAGGTGGTGGTACAGGTGGTGGTGGTGGTACAGGTGGTGGTGTGTACAGGGTGGTGGTGGTACAGGTGGTGGTGGTACAGGTGGTGGTGGTTACAGGTGGTGGTGGTGGTGGGTACAGGTGGTGGTGGTAAGGTGGTGGTGGTACAGGTGTGGTGGGTACAGGTGGTGGTTGGTGGTGGTACAGGTGGTGGTGGTACAGGTGGTACAGGTGGTGGTGGTACAGGTGGTGGTGGCTTACAGGTGGTGGTGGTACAGGTCGTGGGTGGTGGTACAGGTGGTGGTGGTAGTGGTGGTACAGGTGGTGGTGGTAGTGGTGGTACAGGTGGGTGGTTAGTGGTGGTACAGGTGGTGGTGGTGGTACAGGTGGTGTACAGGTGGTACAGGTGGTACAGGTGGTGGGTACAGGTGGTGGTGGTACAGGTGGTACAGGTGGTGGTGTAAGGTGGTACAGGTGGTGGTGGTACAGGTGGTACAGGTGGTGGTGGTACAGGTGGTACAGGTGTGGTACAGGTGGTTACAGGTGGTACAGGTGGTGGTACAGGTGGTACAGGTGGTGGTGGTACAGGTGGTGGTACAGGTGGTGGTGGTGGTACAGGTGGTGGTGGTGGTACAGGTGGTGGTGGTGGTACAGGTGGTGGTGGTGGTACAGGTGGTGGTGGTACAGGTGGTGGTGGTACATGTGGTGGTGGTGGTACATGTGGTGGTGGTGGTACATGTGGTGGTGGTACATGTGGTGGTGGTGGTGGTACATGTGGTGGTGGTGGTACATGTGGTGGTGGTGGTGGTACATGTGGTGGTGGTACATGTGTGGTGGTGGTACATGTGGTACAGGTGGTGGTGGTACATGTGGTGGTGGTGGTACATGTGGTACAGGTGGTGGTGGTACATGTGGTGGTGGTACATGTGGTGGTGGTGGTACATGTGTGGTGGTGGTACATGTGGTGGTGGTGGTACATGTGGTGGTGGTGGTACATGTGGTGGTGGTGGTACATGTGGTGGTGGTGGTACATGTGGTGGTGGTGGTACATGTGGTGGTGGTGGTACATGTGGTGGTGGTGGTACATGTGGTGGTGGTGGTACATGTGGTGGTGGTGGTACATGTGGTGGTGGTGGTACATGTGTGGTGGTACAGGTGGTAAGGTGGTGGTGGTACATGTGGGGCGTGCACGATCTCTGTGGGGGGGAGGGGGAGCGGTGCCGAAGTGGTCGGTGCACTGCACGACGAATCCGGCGACCTGAACCATCCCCACTGACGGCCAACATCGCTGCCGAATAGCTCAGCCAGTCCTCGACTTCCCCTCGGGCGACACGGCCCTGACAGGAGTAGCTCGGTGCAGTGAGTACGGGATACACCCAGCGACTCGTGCGCCGTTCCAGGCCTCGTAGGCGCTGCAGCTGCAGCAGCCTCTCGCTCACAGCAAGCGAGAGGCTGCGTGGGCTCCACGGGGGGCGCTTTGTGCAGGAGGCGGTCGGACTCACGGGCCGCATGGCCAGGTGGTAGGTGTTGCCCAGGCAGATGCCGCAGCCGAGACGACGCAGCTGTCGCGCGGTGAGCCCCTTGAGGGTGCCCTGCGTGCCCACCGGCATGAACACGGGCAGCGCCACGGGGCCGTGGGGGGCCACGAGCGTGGCGGCGCGGGCGCCGCTCCAGCGGCACTCGGCCACGACGCGCAGAGACAGCGGCATTGGCATCGCGAGTACAGTGAGACCCTGTGCCAGTACAGTGTGCGTGCCGACGTCACGCGAGCAGGGCGTGGCCTCGCGAGTAGGGCGTGGCCTCGCGAGTAGGGCGTGGCCCCGCGAGTAGGGCGTGGCCTCTCGAGTAGGGCGTGGCCTCGCGAGTAGGGCGTGGCCTCGCGAGTAGGGCGTGGCCTCGCGAGTAGGGCGTGGCCCCGCGAGTAGGGCGTGGCCCCGCGAGTAGGGCGTGGCCCCGCGAGTAGGGCGTGGCCTCGCGAGTAGGGCGTGGCCCCGCGAGTAGGGCGTGGCCTCGCGAGTAGGGCGTGGCCCCGCGAGTAGGGCGTGGCCCCGCGAGTAGGGCGTGGCCCCGCGAGTAGGGCGTGGCCCCGCGAGTAGGGCGTGGCCTCGCGAGTAGGGCGTGGCCCCGCGAGTAGGGCGTGGCCCCGCGAGTAGGGCGTGGCCCCGCGAGTAGGGCGTGGCCCCGCGAGTAGGGCGTGGCCTCTCGAGTAGGGCGTGGCCTCGCGAGTAGGGCGTGGCCTCGCGAGTAGGGCGTGGCACGAACACGCCCCCCTACAACAACCACCATTCGCCACTAAGTGGCGGTGACGTCACCACGACGCTTGTGCCAGGCTAGGTGCACGTTGAGGCCACGTGAAGTGTCGAACACCCGCTGGCAAGGAGGTCACGCTGCAGACCCAGCGGGTGCCACGGGTCGACTGATCCGGCCCATGGCTTCCAATCACTCCAGGTCAGGTGCCAGCATCATGACGACGGTCACGCCCCTCCCCCCACGCAGAGTCAAGTGGGTCCTGGCCGGCACGTGGCGACCTGCTCCATCGTGCGGCCGATGCAGATTGCAGGCGGACGGCTGCGGTTTCCCATGGGGGTGACCACGAGCCTGATGACTGCATCACAGGTGGCGGAGTGAGTCGCTGTGATGAGGCCGCCTCCGTGTTTGCGAACCGGGCAATTGAGTCATCCTGCATGGAGTGTTCTGGGCGACGATGGCCACCCACCCACCAGAGTTTTTAATTTTAATCAATTGTCCGCATCTGCTGCCATGGTTTGGTGCGGATGCAGTTTAGAACTAGACAATTTAGACGACTCTCTTGAAATAACAGTTAACATTGACAAAAACAATGTCTACATCTGATTGGGAACATGTAAACATGACAGCCTCTTCAGCCGCCTCAATGTCAGCGAAATGCAAAGATCACCTGATTTCCAAGTTCAACCTTTCCAAGAAGAAGCCAGATCCACACATTAAAAAGTTAGACGTTGACAAGATTGTTATCAGAGTAACAGTCCAATTTACCACAGCCTAAAATCGGTTCTAGCTAAAGGGTTGAATTTCGCAGTCACCCATAAACACATCCAAGTTAATATCATTGCCCAGGTCGACGTAGCCCTTCAGGGGTTGGGACACATTCCTGCAGACGTGGCAAGATCGAAAATCGCTGCGATCCTCCAAAACGCTAAGACACCTATTTGCAACATCAGTAAGGATGAGCGCTTTGAGCTTATGCAATTAAAAAAGAGAGATGACAGCCATCCTTTCAGTCGACAAGGGCAATGACACTGTCATCATGGACAAAACCACTTACAATAACAAAATTCAGGACCTACTTAATGATGGTAGCTCTACCAAAATCAAGAGATCCCGCCAACCACCTGGTTACGAAAACCAACAATATCACCGATCCGATATCTTTAATCGAACCAACGAAGCGGTTTTCCTTAAAACCCTCAGTTGATAGACCACCCAGATTGTATGGCTTACCAAAAATTAATAAAGGCACACCATTTCGTCCTATCGTCTCCACCATTTACTCACCCACCTACAAACTGGCCCGATTTCTGTCTTGAGACCTTACAACCATTCACTGGTAAGACCACCTCAGCTGTACTGAACTCAGCTCACTTGGTACCGTTAATTAAGGACATCTCACTATCTCCAGGTGATTTACTCGTTAATTTCGATGTAGTATCTTTGTTTACCCAAGTTCCTATGCCTGACACCATTGCAATCATTGAAGTTTTGGTCCTACAAGGACTGAATGCTGATGTGCCAGCCCTGGTTAGACACTGCCTCACCAACACTTCACCTGGAATGGAACATTCTACAAACAAGTTGAAGGTACCCCAATGGGTTCTCCCTTATCTCCAGTTGAAGCCAATGTTTTCATGGAATTTTTTCAGATGCCATCCAGGCATCTACTCTACGTCTATCCTTGTGGAAGAGGAACGTAGATGACACGTTCATCATCTGGCCACATGTCCTACCAGCTCTGAACCAATTCTTCGACAACATCAATTCCATACACCCAGCCATCAAATTCACCATGGAGGTGGAAAAGGATGGCCAGTTACCATTCTTGGATGTTTTAATCGAAAAGAGACCAAATTGGCTCAATGGGACAGTCTACAGGAAAGCCACCCGTACGGATGCCGACCTAAAACCTGACTCCCACCACCATCCATCCCAGAAGAATTCCCTCATCCAAACTCTACACCATAGAGCTCGTTGTATTTCCGACCATCACCTAGCTAGTGAACTGGGACACGTACACCAAGCTCTCAAGATGAATGGATATTCAGACTACACAATCCGTAAAGCTATCACCCCAACCGTTGGGAAAGAACCATCTGAGGACCTAATCAAAACCTTGCCATACATAGCAGGGGTCACCAAAAATATTTCCAAAATCATGAGCAAACACTAGATCCAGGTTCAATTTGACACAGTACATAAAATTCGTGATCTGATCCCATCTGTGAAGGGTGTGATCTCTGACATGCAATACCCCGGCGTATACAAACTAAGCTGTGCCTGCGGCAGTAGTTACATTGGGGAAACTAAGCAACATGTCTCAGACTGTGTTCGTGAGAAACACGGTAGGATAAATACCTCAGCCGTGGCTGATCATTATTTTAACGCGGTGGGCACACATGAAATTGATTTCTCCAAGACGAAGGTACTCTGCAAACCCACTAGCTATCAACAAAGATTCGTTCATGAAGCCATCCAGATATATAGACACAGACAATTTCAACCGAGAAGATGGGTACAAACTGATCAATCATTGGAAGGACGTTATTAATCAGTTTAAGTCATAACTGACCGTGATGTTTCCACCCTACCTTCCGATGGTAGCAGTTATTTTAGACTCTCTGATTTTACATTAACAGGCTCACTAACACAGCCGCCGTTTACATTGACATGTTAATCTCTCTCACTTTAACATCACTAGCCCCGCCCACTTCGTTTATGACCCTTGGGCTACACCCATTTTAAAACTTTCAAACAGCTTGCCTCAGCAGCTTTCCCCCTCTTTTTAAATCCTTTATATTAAGTTAGCTTGCTTGCGTGCTTACGACCGTGCAAATCTTTCGGTCGTTTTTTAACCCACTTCCCGTGATCCAATCGAGCTGACATTTTGCACACAGACTCGTTGTGCGAGACAATGTTCGTGAAAAAAAGAATTCCAAAATTTTACACTGTTTAGGGAAAACAAATTAAATATTTAATTGCCAATTGCTTAATACTGGCAGACAATCATCTGACCCATAGGTGGCAGCCATCTCAAGCCAGAGGACGAGAGGACTCTAGCCGCCACGCATATAAAGGATTTATAGTGAAAAACTTTGTTTTTACGGGTTATATTTTTTCTCATGACCATTGCTTGTGTTGCGATCGAAACGTCATGATATTTTTTAAAATTTCATCTACATGACTTTACCGAAAGACCCAAAGCACACTCTATAATACTTGTCCCAGACACTCGGGGGTTGATTTCCAGCAGTGTCCCTCCAACAGGCAATTCCTTTTGGAGTTTTTGTCAATGTTATAGGCGACTTGTTTTGCTCATTTATACATTATCACTTTTACTGCCTTGTGTTAAGTTCAGAGATTTTGTAGATTACCAATGGTTATAATTATTTACAAGTCATTGATGCTCATGTCCACATTTGTTGCGGACAGTAGTCAGGTTCTCAGTCGATCGATACTCTTCATCGGTAACCCGAAGAATCAATGTGTACACAGCGTGCCTCCTTGTCATCATACCACTTTATTAAACCCAGTGCCCACCCCTGGGTGTGGTTTCCTTCAGCAATATTCAGCAATGCACGCGTTAAAATGCTTACATGTGTACCGTGCCAACCCGCACACCAACTGGAACAATTACACAATCCGACCATATTTTTAATTTACTGATTATATACACCATTGCAATTGTACAAACGTATACCGCATTACATTTAGTTCACAGCGGTCCTAAAAAAACTGATAAGGTACCTATATTATTGTAACACAGACACGTCCGCCTTTTGAAATTGGGTACAGGTGAGAACTATAAATAATTGCTTTTTCTGCAGGGTATTGCACATGCAAGAATTGGTACGGCACAACATTTAACGTCGCCCAGCATCTTGAGATACGGTTGCATTTAAACAGGTTTAGAAATCAAGATTATAGTGGGTATCCATTTGTTCTTCAGCGGATGATAAAAGTGGCTTCGGCAAAAGCACGGCAGAATGCTTCTTATCCACAGACATAGGGTGCTGTTGTGAATGACCAAATTGGCAGATAAGAGGGTTCCCTTGATATCACTTGATCCACAGGTTGAGTCTGATCGCCACGGGGATCCACAGAGCCACGAGCATCAGGCACGATACGCAAACACGGCGGGCTATGCCGACTGACGGCGTTGTCTGGGTGCAGCATCACCTTCACCCACTCATTATTGTCATCATTACGCTTATTTACCAATTAAAGCCTCACTGGCAAGACTGTTCAGGGTGGTCCTGCAAATAGGGCATCATGATCGCCATGTATATTCCAATTGAGTAATTTGCAGCTAAATAAAAAAATGGACCACAACACCGGCACACTGGCCTACTCTTGTGAAATACTTCACGGTATCTTGAACGTCGATTGTGAAGACGACGGCGCTGAGTATTGTTATCGTTAACACACAGCAGTATTAATCCGGACGGCCACTGTAACACGAACCGTGAAGCTTTTCAACAAGTGGTGACCGTGTCACCGCCTATTTCCCCTTTCACGAAGCTCTGCAGGAGATACAGGTCAAGTAACAGACGTTTCCCTCTGATCTGCAGCATCATGGGCCATAGGGAATTGCTTGCAACATCAAGGCACATTTCCTGTGTTAGCTAAATAATTACCCATTGGAATATCCCATGTTTAGTAACGTTGTATCAAGGACAGGACCTATGTTATTATTCTCACATCGTGCATAACAAGGGCATTCTCATTTTACATTGCTCCTCTCCATACGATTCCTATAAAGTGGCAGCATCCCCATTGTCTTCAATGGAGGAGCCCACTATTTGAATAAAGATCTGATGAATACAGGTCATCACTTGGGTGAGTATTGTATTCAATGTGCGAACCTCCCGACTTTCATGAACCAGTTTAAATTTCCACCATTCGCCTTGCGCCTCGGACAGGCACACGGGAGAGAGACATTGGCGCGCCCCCTAGGGAGTCGCCAGCACTTGACAACCGGCTGCAGCACAGAGACCGCGTTTTGCCACCGCTTCCGTCGAAGATTTTAACGCTTCGCGAATCTTGGGAGCTCTGCGCACAACTGGGAGAACCGCAGGTCTGCTGACCCCTGTGGGCAGCAGGATTTGTGACCAGTATGGAATAAACCAACGAAGTTCTACTGCAATCAGGAAACACATAAGCCACTCACAAAAAACTCATTGCATTATTTCCTAAACAAACGCATACGTTAAGTAAAATGCTAAGGTACATTCATTATAAGGTCAGTTCACAATATGCTACCCAATCACATTGATGTCACACCTACCGAGTTGTGATTAAAACCACATTTAAAATTAAATGAACACCTTGGAGGCCTAGGTTTGATTGGGAGCGCTCGTCCTCAGAAAGCACTCCGAGTGATCTCCTGATGACTTTGCACCGCAACGGGGGAGCCTTCTGCCACGTTGTTATGCAAAGCACAACTGCGACGTAAGGGATATTCATGAAAGCCACGACGAACCCCTCAATCTCTGAACGTCGCATTAGCTGGAGCGATTTGGATTGTGCAAGATGGAGAACCGCAATGAGGATCTAATGTTGTGTTCTACAGTTTTGGAAATCTAGTCGTTTGATTCTTGTGCAAACTGCACCCCTAGCTCCAACCCACGTTGGGCTCCAAGGACAATTAAAATTTGCGATAAATGTAACATTTAAGGCAGGAAAATGGGGCATTTCTCTCAATTGAGATTTGTCTGAATGTGGCTATTCTGCGCCCTTATCAACCAACAATTATTCAATGAATGTGTTGAGCTTCTTCACTTAGTTGATCTTCTTGCTCAGCTCGGTGAATAATGAATGCTCCTAAATAGTTCATAAAACCTGACCTAGGAGCAGCAATGACCCTTGAAAGTCTCCGTGGTCCCACATTAAATAAATGGTTATTGCTCACAAAACTGAAAGAACAAAACTTGAATAGAAAAAACACTTTTAAACAGCAACAGAACAGCAAAACAAACACTTCCTGATCAATAACAAGTAATTTTCCCTGAATAAAAAGAAGTGCAAGATAGTACAGTATTCTACATTTATTTAAAAAGCTGCTAACGGCAATTCATTTGGATAAAGGATGTCTGCTGCGATGTCGAGAGCATCAGTGAACCCATTCCTTCACGAGTCGCGAGTCCCACCCAGCAGTCTGTGTTGTCAGCAAGGCACGATTCCTGATGCGGCTCCCGGCATTCACGGAGACGATCATCGCGGCGCATGGGCGGCGAGGGAGGTGCTGCTGGAGCTGCCCCGGGGGGCTCAGTGCCTCAGGCTGGGGCTGTTGGCCTTGCTGCTTCTGCCCGAGTCCCTGCAGTCCCTTAGTAGGGTGGCGAGCACCTGCCCGCGCCAAAACACGAACCACCACCCGCACCCCCATCAACACTCGTGAAATGTGCGCCACTTCCCAAGGACAACTTGGCAAATGATCGTTTTTGTTATTATTACTGCACTTGTTTACCCAGGAAATCCTCAAGAGGGTCCTGCTAAGTTTTCGCAGGAGGGGGCGATGATTCTACCTCCAATTAGCACGGTTGGCTACATACGTTGCAAAAGAAGTGCAACGTATATACGCGGCCGAGGATAACCCCAATTGAGTAGTTTGTGGGAAATGTTTCAAATTTGGCCGATGACGGCAGCACACAATGCCCTACTCGTGTATGACGTCACCGGATCTGTAACTTCCACTGTGAAGCCGACGACGTGTCATATCATTACCGTTAATACACCCAGCGCAGTTAGTACTTGGGGCGGTTGACGAATTCGAACCGTGAACCTCTGCAACGATCGGTGAATGCACTACCGTGAGCCCGCGACACCACCCACGTTAGACCTCGCGCAAGGAATGCGTGTCGCTCACGCGAGGTTCTCGGCGGGGCCCGAGTGTACCGGACACTCTGCGGTGTGGCACAGAGGGCGGCCCCTGTACCTGGCTCCACTTCTTGTTGCGGCTCTGCAGCTGGATGGCCGAGATGGAAGAGAAGAGCTCGCTGGCCTGCAGGTCCTCGGGGAGGCGAGTCAGCAGCTGGGCCATGTGGATGAAGTCCATGTGCAGCAGCACGTCGTCGTACAGGTGCAGGATGGCGAGCGCCGTGCGGAAGAGGAACTCCTCCCCGTCACGGCAGAAGATGTCCCAGACGCGGCACGCGACGTCCAGGGGCAGCGACTTGCTGTAGAGGGTGAAGATCCTGCACGCATCACGCAGTGGAGAGGGCAGTGCAGGACATCCACACCGAGCCCCGTCAGCAGCGACATCAAGATGGAGTACTACTCTGCGGGAAGTCAACAGCAGCTTTACTCTGGACAGGTGTACCCCCACCACAGGAATGTGGAATTTACACCGAGGGTTGTAAAAGGGTCATGAGCACCACACCTAGCATGACCGAGTGGAAAGCCACTTTCCTTATTTTTACATAAAACATATATACTTAAGAGTGTAGTGATGCTGCGTTTGTATTCATACCAGTCGATCAAATAAATATCTGGAGTCAAATTGTTCTTCTTGAAATGTGAAAAGAGCTGTGGGAGGGTTTCTTCAAAGAAAACTTCAAAGGCTGCAAAGTAAGCGAGCATCTGCAACAGACGCGCACAAGTCAATCAGGGAAGTGTCTTTTCTGCAGGCTGTGCACAATTCTTACACACCCCCAGTATCGCTACCCCAATTCATACTTCCACTAACTGCCATGACATAACGTTTTGCAGAAAAATGGCAAATTCAAATTACTTTCATCGCAAGAAACAGCAGAGGCCGCACTGAGGGCCGCGCACTGTGCACGTGTGTGTAAGCGCACGTCTGCTCGACACACCGAGACCGGGGCCAAGTGGCGGGACCTTGCATGTGTATGGTCTGCCTTGGTGTCAGCGTGCGGGAGTTCTGAGTTCCCACAGCTACTGACCGACACATCAGCACCCGTAGCCGATCGCCTGCTCTCGCAGGTCGCCGGCATGGGAGTGGCAGCCAGCGGTCGGCAGATAAAGGGAGAGACCCTTAGACAGGCGCAAGCGGCTGCCTTGGCGATGCTCGGAAGTAGGGCGTCAACTGGTTAACAGCTGCCGTTAAACTTACCAGTGGCCAATGCCAAGTTATGGAAGTTTAACATGGGTGGACTTTCGCGACCAATTCAATGGTTCATAATTGATATTTGCGTCGGATCGCGTAAGCAAAATGTGTGTTGTAAACCCTCCTCCACCTGACACAGCCAAGTAAAAACGTGTGCGGATGACTCTCCAACAATGCGGTGGTGCTGCTGAAGCAGTGATAAATTGGCACGTTTGTTAACGTGTTGGGTGGAGGAGGGTATACGACACACATTTGACTTGCGCAAACGGACCCGAATATCAATTGTGATCTTACAGAAGTTGTCATTATTAATAAAGAGGTGTTACAGAATTAATTACGGCATGCGATTAGAATAGCGGACAACCGCAGAAAAGGGAGCTTTCGTTTGTTCCCGGTGATGTGCCGTGAATTAGTTTCACAGTCTCCAGCGCACACACCAGGCCATGGTCAACGCGGAAAAAGGCCATCTGGCAGGGTCGGTTCAGTAAGTTGGCAAAGGCAATGAAGGCATCGGCCGTGTCCATATTCAGCAGCAGCACAGCAGCAATGAAGGACATGCCCTGCACCTGAAAAACATGCAGCGTTACACCACAGTCCTACAGCGCACAGTTACAGCACAGGGCATCACAATGAGTTATTCACTTAAGTCAATACTGTAATTCATAAGTTCACAAAGCATTAGTCTAAACACTACAACAAATTAACTTCGAGGTTAGAAAAGAAGCAGCATGGTGTAGCACATTAGTAGAATGTGGCGATCCACACTATAGACAACAGTTTTGTTTTCCCAAGAACTTATCAGTTTTCGTGTTGAAATGAGAGCAAGTGATGACATGCATGCAATTGCCTCGTAGATGATTCCCATTCATAAAACGAAAAACTCCACTTGCAACTTCCCGGCAGAGATCACGACAGCTACTGATGGCCGTGGAAGTGAATGTCTACATTTAATTTATATGGCGCTCTCTGGACTAACAAAACAAATTCGAGTGCAGATTCTCCGATTCCACACGCGGCACAAGCGGACTCAACACCTGACTCGGCGATGGGCGTTCATTTGCTAGGCGGGGGCGGGAATAGCCATGCGAGTAATTGGACGGGATTTTCACATTTTTACTCATTTGAAGCGACATCGATTGTGGCGAGGCGAGAGAACGCGACCCGATGCTGTTGATTTTCCATCCGCGTTCGGGAGAGACACCGCCAAGCACACGGCGAGGCCCGGGCAACTCACGTAGCCCACGTCCGGCCGGTAGCAGGTGTAGGCGCCCAGCACACTGTGCAGCACGTCGTGGTAGGGTCCACCCTGCAACAACCACACGGGACACACAAACTACTACTGGAGAACTCATTGGGTTCCTCCAGTATAAATAAATATTCTGATTATGAAATAATCCGATTCTGATCTCTCCACCATGACCACCGCCTGGCAGGGGCACAATAACTATCGACACCCCTTCAATCAACACCACCGCGTTTGACGCTTCTCAGTTTGTGAGACGAGCGTGAGCTGACTGGAGGTAAACCCCCGTAGTCTTAATATTTGGGAAACCACACACCTAACACTTTTGTAACAAAAGGAGGCACATTATGTCACGGTTTAGAGACTGCCTCATCAGAGGTGCAATTATCATGGGTGTGATGAGCTGGTTAGGGTTCAGGTGAGGGCAGGGGCTCGGCAACCTGTGACTCATTAAGTACTGCTTTGCGACGTTAGCTATTAAGGACTGTCTCCTATTAACATGCATTGGTGGCTCTTAAAATATTGAATTTACAGAATTCGAACAATATGGGTATTATTATTATTATTATTTTCGTTGCCAACTCCTGGGTTAGGAGTTTGGGTTGCGATAAACTCTTCTGTGTGAGGGTTGACAATTAAGTTCCGAGGAGGAATCGCATGTTCTGCAGTAACCCCAACAACATAAACAGCTCAATGGTGTTTACTGGAAGCAAAGAAGAGAATTATATAAATATGCCGTGCGTCTCTCCGCTAATAAGATGAATGCCATAGTGGCTGGTGAGCTGAACACCTGACTGTGGTTTAACCTTGTAGTTACTTCACCGAAACCTTGGCCATCGAGGGTTTCCCCAAAGCGGATTTGACTATTCACGCAAAATGTATTGAGATACAGGTTTGCCGATCACAACCCCTGTGCCTCGACCATTCGCAGTTAACTGCAATATTCCTGTTTGCATCGTAACTGTACTGCTTGCGATTATGCTGCTGCGGAAGAAAACACGCGCCGTCTCATCTCCATCTTGTCTCCCAAGCGGCGCATCGCAGGTCCCAGTTCATATGCTCCCAGCATCCTCCAGTGAGGTTCAGATGCACAATTTTTCTTTATTTATCAGTGCTCTTATTGTTTTGCAATGGGCCCCTAAATTAAAATTAAGTGGTAGTGAATATTTATAGTTTGTTCGTTTTTAAACTGTGTAATATTTACTGGACAGTACATGTCATTAACCTTATATTCAGGTTTACTTTTACATGTACAGTACAGTTCGGGTCCACTATATTAAATATTTTCATTCTATACATTGACTGTACGAGTTGTATTTAACAATATATAAAATATTAATTATATTTTACATTAAAATACTTCCCGTTCCATGTTTGGGAGTCACTTTTCTCAGGACGAGGAAACGTAGGAGATACTCCGGGTTAGAGGTCACGAGTCACGGGAAACTACGTGTCAAACTGCAGTTTTCTTACCGAGGAAAACAACTACACCGATTCCCGAAGGGCTGAGTACTGCGATGCGCATGCAAATTTTTGTAGCTCAGTTTTTTATTTATATAAACTTCGTGCTTCTTTGTGCACCAGCAAATGCTTTCTGTTGACCGCCAAGAGACGACATCTGGCAGAGCCAAAACTGCACGTTCCCTGCTCAGTAGGGACGCCACCAACGGCTGGGGACAACAGCGCTAGCTGAGCGGTCAAACAACCAGAGACATTCTCGCCCTACGACAAAAGTTGGACACAGTTGACCAATTGTGTGCAGGTGGAGACAGTAGTTAAAATGTCGCTGAAACCTAAGGTAGCGGTTGAGATTCTCCATGTCTTTGCGTGCGGCTATTGGCCCCAGAAGGCAATCGCTTATTTTATCGGGCATTGGGGGCGGCCTGGGAGGAAACGCACCTTCTGGAAGATGCAGAGCGTGGGGAAGGTGCGCGAGATGTCGAGTTTGATGAGCTCCAGGCTGGCCTCCCGGTCGGCCTCCGCTGTGGCAGCAACAGCAGCAGCAGCAGCCTCTGCACCACCCCGCAGCACAGTGCATCAACGCCTCCCAATGAAATTATAACATCTTCATGGACACGTACGTCATTGGAGCGGAACCGGAAGGAAAACTAAAATAAAATAACTTTATCGCTACCGAGGCTCCCACAACGCCATGTGGGAGGGCGTGTAGCAGTTTGGCGCCAGCTATCGTAGAGTGCGGTCATGTTGCTACAGTCCTATGCGGTCAGCACAATGTCTTAAAAAAACAACGGCACCATGCCTCTCTAAATACAATTAACGCTAACCGCTTGCATGTTCCGAGATTCAGCGGTGAACGGGGCCCCACCCTGCAAATTGCAGACGTCTCGGAACAGGAAAGGGTGAATGTGACGCTTGTTTACCCAGGGAAGTCTTAGCGAGTCTCAAATCCAGAGGGCGATGTCACCGTGTCTACTCCCAAGAGTAATTTGCAGATACCGTTTCAGCATGTTTTAGCTATTGGAGGAAACTGGAGAAACCGGAGGATATCAATTTAGAGCAGGGGGAGAATCTACACAGCGTACACAGAAAGTAGCCTGGGTTAGGAATCGAACCCAGGCCCTTCTTGCTGTGTGACACAAGCGTTACCAAAGCACCACCCTACCACCCTCCTAATTTGCATTTGGTCTGTCTCGTCCATTAACATTCACATTTTAAATCATCTCAAGTCTAATTTACGGGTTTATTCGTGGCACTGACTGTGCTTTTCCAAAAGTACAGTTTTTTATATTTTTTTCCAAATGTTAATAGAATGTTGACAAACATATGCTGTGGACCAAAGACATGGAAATGCAGCCACTGGTGCCTCTACCGCTGGGAGGCAAGACCTGTGAGTGGAGGGGATAATTGATCCTCATGGCGATACCCCGGAGTACCAAATAATACAAAATGGCCGAGGCAATTAAATATTTTATTTCTGGGACACTATTTTTTCCAGGGGTGTTACTTAACTCCGCGAATGGGGTACCAATAAATCCGAAATCAGTACTACTCCACGATGTCGAATCGTCAAACATTAGCATAAAAAAATCCGTTATCGAAAAGTTAAACTTTGAATAATGCATCATGTACAGCTCGCCGAGATGAGTCGATTGCCGCATCGCCGACAATCAGCAGACTAAAAACGACTGCATCACGGACATTGTGCGGGAATGGTACCCCGGAGTACCGGCATAAGGTTCAATTGTGGTTGTGATTATTTATATTAGATTTATTTTATTTATTACATTCTGCAATTACACAAATGTTACTACCACAGTACGGATCTGAGTTACAATCATGGTTACATAGGTCATGATACAAACAGTGAGTATTGGTGCATGTGCTTTACATGCTACAGGAAGTGGGAACCAATGAAAAAATGTCAAAAGTAAATAACAAGACTAGATTCTTTTGTGAACAAAATAAAAGGAAAAAAAAATTCATTAACAAATAAACACAATGAGCAACCGGAATTTATGCTCCAAATAAGCTCCAGCTCACACATCTCTGACGATTATTGACGACGGCTACACCTATCAAGGAACTTGAGTTTGAAGAATGAACGTAACTGTCTCACGGTCATCAACAATTTAATTCCCAAAGCTACCATGAAAGCGATTTCACAACGAGGGAGCAGCCACCGAGAAGGACCTTTTTACTGCAGACCGAATCGAACCTGGGGGGTTTCTAAGAGTAAGTCGGAGGAGCTTTTTAGGCTTAGTTTATTTTCTTTCAGGGTCAATTGATCCATCTAGTATTTATCAGATTTATCCAAGAGGACCTTTAAAATAAACAGAGCCCAGTGGGATGTTTCTATGGGCAGAGACAGTTTCAAGATGAACCAATGTAATTGTCACAATGGTGGGTACTGAAGAGAGCATCCAGAGCAAAGCTAAGACCTGAATTGGTCGATTGAGTTTAGCTTCTTTAATGCAAACCTCAGAAGCAAACTGATGAAGTAAATCATGGCAATAAACATTGGAAGTATTGTTGCTCTTACCATATCTAAAATTAGCATAGACGGCATGCAGTCCTTATGCCTGTATAGGAAGCCACTTTTAACCTTCATTTTCTTTAAATGTAAGCAAGATGGAGTGAAACTTAATTTAGAGTTGGTGATGGACCCCAAGTATTTGTACTCCTTCACTTGTTAGATTTGTGGCACTGAAACATAAACAATGCACAACTTTGGTGGCGATTCCGTCCATGTTCGGGTCCATGCCCTGTAATTGGCTGGACTGTATTTTGCCACCAATGTAACGAAATAACCTGGGACCATTAAATTAAACCCTAATCCTGGCCTCTCTCAATGCATTGGCATTGGGCGAGAGGGAAAACTCCCAATTCCCTGTGTTAGGAGCGCCAGCAAGGCTGAGGTTTCCAATGCCCTCTTGGTGAATTCTATGGTTACCTTCAGCTTCAACGTTGGAGCTCGTCTCACTGAAGCTTTTCCACCGTTCTTCTGCTCGAGAAAGGAAGATCTCGTACAGCTCTGAAACGAGCGGAGAGGACACGTGCTTTTTAGAGATCCGTCAAAGAGTGGGCTCTCGATTCACACATCGGCAGATTGAAGATTTATATTTTAAAATAAATGTACTATTTATATTTTATCAGGAAAGGCTCACTGAGCTATATAGCTCTTTTTCAGAAGCAGCCTGGCCACAAATGATCGCTCAACAAAGTGGCTTATCATGTGCAAATTTATAACGGCCATATCCTGTAAAAGCATGTTCTAAATCATTGCATTGTTCCACCGTTATTCACACGGCCATGCCTCACAGTCCAGTCCCGCACTTCTCTCCATCGGCAATAATAACAGAGCTCTGACCCGCAAGTCTCTCAGTTATATTTGTGCAGAATACTGACATCAGTGGTTCGGTACTGGGGGGGGGGGGGCGTGTGTGGAACCACGTGGCCGCCACAGCAGTGAGAGTGCGGCAGAGGATGTGGCATGCCAGTGTGCAGGCACGGCATGCCGCTGACCGTGTGTGATGTTGAGCTCATTGCCGATGGTCAGCCTCCACACTCTGCCCCGCACGCTGGGAGGGATGCCTTGCCACCAGAGGTCCTTGGCTTTCCGGGTCTGCCTCCTAAATGTAGAGCGTTCTCCACGTTAACATCACCAACGTCTCACATTCGCTTCGTTTGTAATGCTGGCACCGTGTGACGTAGTCGCTAACTATATAGACCGTTGCCGGTGTCCGCTATGACATTTTTGGTTAGCCAGGTCACGAGGTGCTCATATGATGGTTTAGTTCGTGGTGAGAACGAGGCAACCTTTCACCTGAGGCGAAGCATTACTAGAATTGATTGTCTTTAAAACGGTCAGTCACCCGATATGCTTCCACAACTTCGAACAGCAAGTCTCCACACACGGTATCTTATAAATAGTAACATACAAACATGTACCCACTCGCATCAATTGTCCAAGCGCATTCCGGACTCTGGGATAGGGCTATCTTGGCCACCGTTGGCACTTAATGCTGTTTTGCTTCTTCGTCCAGATATGAGGAAGTTCCCACTCTGTCACAGTAGTGCGAGGCCCGTTGGATTTCGCACTTTCGTGATTTTTAACCCTGAACATCTATGAAAAAGAGCTTCATAGCTCATCAGATTTCTCCATAGTAAATAAAGTTCATGATTCGTCCTTCAGGTTCGGGAGTTGTTGAGACACTCAGCCTTCCAACGCCCACTGTTATCAGACATCCCCTCACACCTCTCCACTCCAGTAGATGGCACTCCTCACGATCACGAACTCTAAGTGGCCAATATTAAACCACCTCACCAGTGTACTTATTGTGAGATGCAGTACACAGAAATCCCCAAGCACCCCTTCTCATTCACAGTACCACAATCACCACCTCAACAGTACAATATTGGACTTAACGGCACAAGTCGGACAATGGCAGCAGATTATTGGCTTCTGTGATACTCAGCTGCCCCGGTTCGCACCGCTGCTTTCCTCCACAGGATGGCGCTCAAGGTGCCATCCTTGCGCTCGCCCACTGCTGAAGCGTTTTCTCATCATCAAATGTGCCTCTGCTCCCCGAGCAGATGGCCAAGCATTCAACATGACTGTTCTCTGTGGTCGGCTCCTCTCTCCACTGCTGGCTGGATGTTGGGCAGACCTGCTAGTGGCTGGTGTCCTGCTGCTGTGGTCTCATCCGCCTCTCAATTGCGTGAGAGGGGGTTCCAATACATATGAAACTTGGGCTAGGTTTGGCACAGTCCATAGGTTAATTTCCTGATGAAATTTAGCCCTGCACCTGTTCTGAATATTGCCGCATGGGTTCCGCAGCTAATTATTTCACTCGGTGCATGCTGCATGCCGAATGAATTGGCGACCTGAATGAGGCTCCTCAATTCCTTTATCCCCTGCCAAACCCAGAACCGGCTCATCCTGTGCCACTTCACTATCCCTCTCATTTCAAACACGTGGTCGAAGCCCATACACCCTATATTAGGATTGAACCCACACAATATGCAGCGCTCCACTCTAACCTGAGTAATTATAATATTACACCTCTCGGCTTTATTGTACCACGTACCACATCGAAGGTGCCTAATTAACAAAAAATAAAGGTATCTGCCGACCTGGCTATCGCTGCGACCAAGGTCTATTTGTTCCCTCGGTACAGGGGCAGTGAGAGCAGCAGTGTCACGGTGAGCAGACCCATGTGATCGTTCCGGTTTCCTGTAACATCACAGCATGGCGGGATGGGTGTCATGGGAACTCACGTGCGGTCCCAGTGGGGCAGAATTTCCGTGTTCCACACGGCAACCGAGATGGAGATGTTCTCCTCCTGCTTGCACCGCTCCTTCAGCTGCTTCTTACGCCTCTGCATTTCTCGTACCTCTGCACACGACCGACAGCGAGCCCCGGAGAGCCACAGCAGGAGTCCATGCGGCTGCTTTTCCAAGGACACACCACTGGAAAACTTCCCGTTGCTTCACACACACACTCTACATTACCATGAAAGGAACAGAAACAATAAACACATTCGCACAAATTTACCGAGGAAAGCCTCAAGGAGTCTCAAAGACTCAAGCTTGTTTGGGATGAATGGGCAATTCCACGAGGAGTATATTTGTGGAGGTAAGTGGGGAGCCTGGAGGAAACCCAAGCTTTTGACTGTCTTGAGATGGAACTGCATGTCAAGATGCAGTCCATAAACAGTAATTTTGTAGAGTGAGATGAGATGGGAGAGGTAAGTGAGTGCGTGGCAGGGAGTAGAGTGAGATGAGAGGGGAGAGGTAGGAGATTGCGTGGAGGGGAGTAGAGTGACATGAGAGGGGAGAGGTAGGAGAGTGTGTGGAGGGGAGTAGAATGAGATGAGAGGGGAGAGGGAGGCAAGTGCGAGGAGGGGAGTAGAGTGAGATGAGAGGTAGGAGAGTGTGTGGAGAGGAGTAGAATGAGATGAGAGGGAGAGGTAGGAGATTGCGTGGAGGGGAGTAGAGTGAGATGAGAGGGGAGAGGTAGCAGAGTGCGTGAGGGGAGTAGAGTAAGATGAGAGGGGAGAGTGTGTGGAGGGGAGTAGAATGAGATGAGAGGGGAGAGGTAGGAGAGGGGTGAGTCCATGGAGAACCTTGTAGACAGTGAGTAGTATTATCTTGAAATTCAGTCAATTAGGAATCGACTCCTACATCGTAGCACCGGTTTGTCACAATTCATGAACCCAAACTCACTGGTGAATAGACTTGTCGAATAGAGTGTGTACTTTGCGTGGTGTACGGTAAGTTCTCACTTAACGCGTTTTCACACAACGCATTTTCGCTATCATCCAGTTCATCTATTCGGAAACATTTTCCCATTAGAACGCGGTTTCTGAGTGGTCGACAACTGCTTTCTCGAGCTGCGCAGCTGAGTGGTGTAATACAGTAAGCGGAATGATACGGTGCGCGGCGTCGTACCCTAATCTCAGTTATTTCTCCCACCATGTGATGACTACAGGCTGATTTACAGTGCATACGTGATCAGTACAGTGATTCCTCGCTAAACGCTTTTTCGTTTAACT